AGTACAACAAGCAGAAATAAGAAGACATTTCAATTCTAAATGTTTATGCATCCAACTTAAGTGCTCACAGATTCTTGAAAGAGACTTTATATAGTCTGAGCTATATGATATCACAAAATACTATAATTGCGGAGACTTTAACGCTCCTCTCACAAAGCTGGACAGATCCTCTAAATAGAAACTTAACAAAGATACAAGAGACTTAAATGTTTACCCTAAAACAACTGTGCTTCACAGACATATATAGGACACTCCACCCCAATCCTAAAGAATACACGTTCTTCTCATCGGCCTATGGAACATGCTTGAACCTAGAACATAACCTAGGACACTAATCAAACCTCAAAAAAATTAAAAGAATTGAAATTTTACCTTGTATCTTCTCAGAGCACAATGCAATATTGGTGGAACTCAACTTCAACAAAAATTGTCATCACCACACAAAGGCATGGAAATTAAACAACATTAAACTGAATGACATTGGGTCAAGAAAGAGATAAAAAAGGAAATCATTAACTTCCTTGAGCACAACAATAACGAAAACACAAGATACCAAAACCTGTGGGACACTGCAGAAGTAGTCCTAAGAGAGAAATTTATTGAATTAGGTGCCTATATCTGAAAAACAGAAAGAGAACACATTAAGAACCTAATGAATAAAAATCAGAGCCAGATGGGTTCACATCAGAATTCTATCACTCTTTCCAAGATGCACAGTACACCTTGTGCTGCAGAACCTAGTCCAAAACACTTAGAAAGAAGGAACTTTCCCCAAAACATTTCTATGAAGCAAACATCACCTCGATTCCAAAACCAGGAAAAGACCCAACCAAAAAGGAGAACGACAGACCAATTTCACTAATGAATATTGAGGCAAATATGATCAACCAAATCTTAGCTAACAGATTGCAGCTATTCATTAAAAAATTATACATCACAATCAAGTAGCCTTCATCCAAGGGATGCAAGATTGGTTTAACATACCCAAACCTAATGAAGTAATACACCATATCAA